AGAGGATACTCTCCACGCCATATCACCCTGCCGCCAACGGCCAAGCGGAATCCTCCAACAAAACAATATTAAACATACTAAAGAAGAAACTCGAGGACGCCAAAGGGCTATGGCCCGAGCTGCTACCCGAAGTGTTGTGGGCACACAGGACCACACCCAAATCCAGCACGGGGGAAACACCGTACTCGCTGGTCTACGGAACCGACACGGTCATACTCGAGGTCGGCGAACCAAGCCTAAGATATTCACACACCAGTGGAACAGAAAACGACACAAACAGGCTCCAAGACCTCGACGAAGCTGAGGAAAGGAGAGAAATGGCCCATATCAGAATGGTGGCCCAAAAGCAACAAGTCGAAAGATACTACAACAAGAGGGCCAAAATAAGACCACTCAAGGTGGGAGACTATGTCCTTAAAGCCAAGACATTGGCATCCAAAGACCCAAGTGAAGGGAAACTGGGCACCAACTGGGAAGGACCCTACAAAATCACAGCAGTAGCCAGCAAAGGCGCATTCCAGTTGGAAACAATGGAAGGGAAAACGCTCCAAAACAACTGGAACGTTACTCACCTCAAGTATTTCCACTTCTGAAAGGCGTCTCCCGAGTCGTACTCTTTTTCCCTTACCCGAGTTTTGTCCCAATTGGGTTTTCTCGGGGAGGTTTTTAACGAGGCGGCGGAGGGGACACTTGGAGATATTTGCGAAACAAGTTTATCATATCAACCTCTCCTTATGACCTCCAGGCCGACATGATAAAGGGACTGGACTAGCTTGATCTCCAATGTATGAAAGGCTACGGCCATCTCCAATGTAGGAAAGGCTACGACCATCTCCAATGTATGAAAGGCTACGGCCACCTCCAATGTATGAAAGGCTACGGCCACCTCCAATGTATGAAAGGCTATGGCCATCTCCGATGTAGGAAAGGCTACGGCCATCTCCGATGTATGAAAGGCTACGGCCACCCCCAATGTATGAAAGGCTACGGCCATCTCCAATGTGTGAAAGGCTAAGGCCATCGCCGCCAACGGTCGACCTAGATTCGACTAAGGTGAGTAAACGACTCGACAACAGTCGAAGTCGCCTACATGGCTAAGGCCATCAATTATATCATGGCTAAGGCCATCGCCGCCAACGGTCGACCTAGATTCGACTACGGTGAGTAAACGACTCAACGACAGTCGAAGTCGCCTACATGGCTAAAGCCATCAACGGTATAATAGCTAAGGCCATAGACGCCGATAAGTCGACCCAGCTCGACTATGACAGCGAGTAACTCGACGATAGTCGAAGTTGCGCACACGGCTAAGGCCATCAACAATATTAAGGCCGAAAATAAAAGGTACAAAAAGAAAAGAATAACAGCAAAAGTATAACTTCCATTATCATCCAAAAATACATGTACAAAAGGACCCATTTACGTCTCCAAATACAGCAAAACAAAATGAATACAAGTCCTAAGGGGCTTCGCCATTCTGTTCACCGCCCCCCGTCGGACCGCCATCTCGTCCACCGCCGTCCTCGGCCTGATAGGCCGCAGAGATCCAAGAGACGGATTCTAGACGGTTGACGTCTTCGGAGTTATAGCCCGCCCGGTCTGGGGAATCAGAACTATACCCACAAGTTTCACGGGCGACACGGGCTATGCGCCATTGCTCTTGAACCTCCGCCTCAGTAGCTCGACCCGCAGCTAAGAACTCCTCGAATACGACCAATCTGGCCTCGGCGTACACCCACATGTCATGCGCCTCACGATGCGCATCCTCATCAGGCCTTGGTGCAGCAGTCCGCTTGAGGACTTCAATTTCAGCCGCCTTGACATCGAGTTCGGTGGTCATAGCGGCAACCCTGATCCACAAATCAGCAGCTTCCCCCGCTACCCCACGGCCAACCTCCAACTTTTCTTCCTTAGACTGGAGAAGAGTCTCCAGCTCAATGTTCCGAGCCAGGGCGGTCATCAGCTGCTCGTCGATCTCCTCCAACTCGGCCACCCTCCGTTTCAGCTGGGCCTCCGACTGCTCCAAACCCTAACGGAAAACCCAAAATTCCGGGTCCTGCTTGAGTAGGTCCGCCAGCGCCTGATGCTTGACGCGGCACCGCCGATGTTTCTTTACCACCTTGTTAAAGGTGGCTGCCTTCCTTTGCGCCCGCCGCCCCCACTCTACCTCCAAGATGAGAGTCTAAAAAAGAGGAAAAGGAGGAAAGGCAAGTCAGTATGCATCAAAATTTACTTTACGGTACATGAAGAAAATCGAAAAATACCTGCAAGGCCGCGCCGGCAACCCTCCGGGATAGTTCCCCGTCGCTAACCCCTTTTAACATTTCACGCTCAGCGGCCGCACATAGCAGGGTCATATCCGTGGCGGCCTGCTCGCTGTGTTGCAACAGGTTATACCCTCCTGGGATCAGAATTCGGCGGTTGGATCTACCTGCCGTCATCCCCACACGGGCCGGACCCCGCGTTAACGCATCTGCATCCGCCTGGGCGGCCTTAGGGCCCACCCTCTCGGTATCATTGCCCGCTTCTCCAACGGCAGCCGACGAGCCGCTCTCCGGAATGCGTGTTGGGCCGGCGTCGAGAACCGCCCCCCCTTGGGGAGCCGACCTCCCGGAACGGGTGGCATCTGCCATAAAAATTGGCCTTGACTCCCGATGGGGCTCGCTCGCCCCCTCGTCCTCTGTGGCTATCCCCTTGCCGGTTATCAACCGACGTCTTTTCCTTTCCGGCGGCTCCTCGCTCTTAGAAGTCTCATCCACAGCCCGTGGGGATGGCATTAAAGGAGTCGCTCCCCTCGTGGATGCCGCCACGGGCAGCGGTTGAGGAACCTCCACAGCGCCATCACTAGGCGAACCACAGGGTATGTATCCGTCTTCAGAATCAGTCCCCGCCCCAGGTGAGGTGACGACGTTCTTTTTCTTCTTTTTAGGGGCGCTCCGACCTGCCAACGCGAATAAGTCAGGTAACAAGAACGTAGGGAACTCCCAAACCGTAGCCAAAGAATTACCTGACGGGCCGTACCGTTGAAGAAATGCAGCCCAGGTACGGCATTCCTCCGCATAAGGTATTATTCTTTCCACCCATGATTTAATGTCATCAGTGAACTGGGGTGGAGAAGCCCTCCCCTCGCCCTCGCTGCGAATAAAAAAGGGAGAAAAGCAAAGAAATCACAATGGCCGTATGGTCAAAAGCGCAAGCAGTCCTGAATTCTACGAGTAGAAATACTTACGTTCTGGATTCCATCTTTCCGGGAACCCTTCGGGATTCGACACCAGGTGCTCCGTCCTGATGTAGAAATATTTACGCCAAAAACGGCGGTTGGGCTTATCATCGGCTTTAACAACCAAGCCCCTTGTGCCACGACTTTTTAACTGCAGCATGGTACCCCTCAGGTAACCAGGGCTGAATAACTGTAAGAGGTGGTGGACCGAGACGCTGCACTCAGCCCTGGCCGCATAAGTGGTCATAATACGGCACACCTTCAAGGTGTAAGGAGTGAGCTGAGCCGGACACACATTGTAAAAACGGTAAAGCTCCTCCATCAGAGGGTAGATTGGAAGATTGTAACCGATCAAGAACGGGTACTCATAGAATGTGCAATATCCAGGCCGGTGCACATTGGTATAGTTCGTCCCGGCCGGAACCATTTCCACGTGGTCCGGAATATGGTGCGTCTCTCGAAGATCATCTAAATGGGATTGTAATAAAACGCTGTGCTCCCAGGGAAGTTCTGAGCTTTTAGTTGGAAAATCCCTGCGAACATGCATCTCTTTCGGAAGGACGTTGTCTACACTGAGAGGAACAAGGGCCTTCTCCGCCTTTTCCCCTTCACCACCGGAAGATGGCGGAACCCTAGACGGGGCATTATCTTTGGCCTTTTTACTACTCTGTCCATGTTTTGTCATGATTATACTACGTAAGAAACGAAGCACTGACGATAGGAAGTGTGGTTTCGACAGAAGTGGGAGAGTCCCTCACGAAATAACGGTTACAGGAAAGAAAGACAAAGGAGTAAATCGGAAAATGCTTTCCGAAGGCTTGAAAGTTGAATCGAATCTAACCTCTCTCCTACTTATAGGGATAAGTTGCGCAGAAATCGAAGAGTCATGATTCAAAACGTGCGCGGGAAACCAAAATGTCACATCATCCTCTGAACCGCCTCGGGGGCAAATATAATAATGATGTATACAGGCGATGACATCATTCCAAAAAGGAAGCCACGCGTCAGTGGCTCAACAACGTCATATATTTCACCTCATTCATATTGCCGCCCCTGGTCGAGGTCAAATTCTCCTAAGCCGAGGTTCGCATTTCCGCCCATCGAAGACGCCCACCGAATGCGTCTCCAACGAGCGGAGGGACTAACTGTATAGGGTCAAATTTGACCCTCAGCATCTCTACGCCAGTGGGTACGCCCAGTGAGTGTACGCCGACTAACGTAGAGGGTACGACTCGGACGTGGGGACAAAAGCGGCATCGTTTAGGACTCAGTGTCTTCACTAGGGAGACGTTACCTGTCTTTGTAACTTTTTGATTCTTTCGAGGAAGGTCTCTTATTATATAAAGGAGACCTTCACATTGTAAAGAGGGGATTCGGATCTAATACAACTCTCTCATTTTCTGGCTTTCTCTCTCTATCTCTACCTCAAACGAACATATCTTACTGAGTTCATATTATCACTTTGCAATACTAGATCTACAACTATAATATCATCTTTGCATCTCTAGGTTTATTATATTTGATTACGATTTACCTTTTTCTTACTTTTGATTGTTTTCTAGCTTACAAAGTATATTGTTAACTTTTGAGCCAAACAATTTCTCAAGTGGGGCTTATAACCTATTTGCGCAAATGCTTTAAAAATAGCAATTGGTAAATGCGCTGCGATCATAAAATGCAAGTCTAAAATGAGATTATGAATTGCATTGGTGAAATGCGACTTCTACATCGCAATAATTTAGACTTATAATTCGTTAATGCGACTTATTCTCAATGCAGTAACTTTTTAATTGTTCTGAAGTCTAAACAAATTGGATATAGTTGTCCGGCATTTCCAAAGAAAACATTGTCGGTCACTCTTCATTCTCAACATAACTGAAAGTTAAAAGGAGCAAAATGGAACAAATAGAGCACAAATACGTTGAAGTAAATGGGCTAAAGCTTCATTTAGCTGAAACTGGAAGTGGGAATTCCCCAGTTGTGGTGTTCTTGCATGGTTTCCCTGAAATATGGTATACTTGGCGATATCAGATGATAGCTGTGGCCAAAGCTGGTTTCAGAGCTATTGCACCCGATTTCAGAGGATACGGGTTATCGGATCAGCCACCCGAACCCGAGAAAACCACTTTTCTTGACTTGGCTAATGACACCCTTGCACTTCTTGATGCTCTTGGCATCTCTAAGGTATTCATCTTCTCAAAATTTTGAGAAGAAGAAGTTATTTTTTTACTGTGTTATGCTTAAAGTTCATTCCTTTTCCCTTTTCCTGGTGGCTGGTGCTAAAATAACTCTCCTGTTAAAAAATAAAAAAAATAAAAAAATTCATTGCTTAATATTTTATAATAAAGCATAAGTGTAGTTTCAAATTACTTAAAAGAGTAGTATAAATCAAAACAAGTTGTAGTTAAAGAAAAAAATTGAAAGCGGGAAAGCAAAAAGCAATTGACTCCTCAAATAGTGATAGGTAGGAACTAAGTGTTGAAAAAAATTGATTTATGGTTCAAGGGATGACTGCTATCCTTATTTAGACAGGAACCTAAACTGGGTAAGTAAACTGGTGTATTTGAAATACCATGTGTAGATTGCTTGAGTAAGCATAAATAGAATCTAGCCTTCTTTAGCTTCTAATAATTAAATATACTAGGATTTGCAGGTGAATCTATACGCATTATTACTCTAGTTAGTTGCCACATTATTTTAAGTTTTGTACAAATCTATAGTCATTCTTGTGTTTTATGAACTTGCATCTTTTTCAGCAAAAAAAAAAAATTGCGTATTTTGTTCTTAACGTAACTTGAAAGGTTTTATTTTTGTTAGATTTTTTACCATCTTCCTTTTTTGTTATTTTCCTCAAACAGAGCACAAATAGAAGAGGGGGGGGAGGGGGGGGGGGGGGGGTAGTTCAGAGAAGTTTCATGTAGTAGTTAAAATAAGAATTGTTGAGGAACATCTGAGCATCAATTTTGATGTAAGTGAAGAAATCACAACTTGTATATTGGATGAAAAGAAAGCGCAATGACTTTCGAGCAACTATAAGGAGTGCTTGCAAATGATTCTACAATACATGGTTTAATCTCATAACCTTAAATACATTGGTAGTTGTTGGCTAAACTTCACGGAAGTATGAAAATTTGGACAAGTATAGGTGAAACGGTAATATCCTGGCAGTATTAGGAGTTACTGTTGGAATTTAATTTTGAGCCTGTGTTGTTATAGCTCAACCAAATGGTCTTTTTTCATATTCTGCGTGAAATAAGAACTGATATAGGCTGGTGTTTATATCCTTGTTCCTTTGCACTCTCTCTCTTTCTTGGCATGTGTCGTACTGATATCTATATATGTGCAATAATGTAGGCTTTTCTCATTGGCAAAGACTTCGGATCTGCTGTCATTTCCCTATTTATCCTTCTCCACGGGGAGAGAGTCTCTGGATTTATTACCATGGGAGTGCCATTCTTGCCCCCACAACCTTTCAAGTACACTGAATACCTCCCTGAAGGCTTCTATATTTCGCGATGGAGGGTAAGATCTTGCTCTCTGATCTACATTCCATGATATCAATCTTAGTTGAGCTGGTGGAGTGGCCCCTGTGGAGACAAAGATGCGTGAGGCAAGGTTGAGATGGTTCGGGCATGTTAGGAGGAGAAGCACATATGCTCCTGTCAGGAGATGTGAGAGGTTGGCCTTGGGAGGTGAGTGAAGGGGTAGAGGTAGGCCAAAGAAGTCTTGGGGAGAGGTGATCAGGCGGGACATGGTGCAGCTTGAGCTAACCGAGGACCTGACCCCAGATAGAAGGGTGTGGTGGTTGAAGATTAGGGTAGAAGGTTAGTAGGTAGTCGAGCGTTTCCCTTTGTCTTCTCTAGCTTGTTAATATTAGCGCTAGTACGGTACCCTTTTTTCCTTAGTTTGCTATATTCGCATGTCTCGTTCCGTTGTTACTTGCCATCGGTAATTCCGTAGTTTGCTAGCATTACTTCGTTCATATTCTCGTTTGCTGCCTTGGAATTAGTTTTCTAAATATGTTATCTTGCTATTACTTGTTATCGGTACCCCTTTCATATTCTCTGTTGCTATTTTCGATTTAGTTTTCCAATTATTTGTCTTGCTATTACTTGCAATCAGGCTTCTCTCACCTTTTTTAGCCGAGGGTCTATCGGAAACAGTCTCTCTGCCCTTCCAGGGTAGGGTAAGGCTACGTCCCACTTGTGGGATTATACTGGGTTGTTGTTGTTGTTGTTGATTTCAACCTTAGTTCTCTTTGATCTCCAAGAAATTTTCTTTCCAGGAACCTGGTAGAGCTGAAGCTGATTTTGGTCGTCTTGACGCTAAAACAGTTGTGAGGAACATCTACATTCTTTTTTCTAGAAGTGAAATACCAATAGCCAATGAAAAGCAGGAAATCATGGACATTGTGCAACCTTCGACCCCTCTACCCCCTTGGTTCTCTGAAAAAGACCTGGAAACATATGGAGCTTTGTATGAGAAATCTGGATTCCAGACTGCATTGCAGGTTCCATATAGGTACAACGACAATCTATGTCTATTTGAGCTGTAAAGTTCCTTTCTCGAAAGCTTTTTCTCTACTATTTCACACTCATATGTCACACACAGTTGTTATATACAGCAGACCAACAAAGGATTTTATTTTGATGTCATATACGGCCGTGGTGAGGAAGAGGCAGACTTAGGAAAGTAATATTAAGCTGAAGTCTTAACTTGTTCCACTGTGTGTTTAACATTTATAAGATGACAGCAAATTCGAGTTATAGGAATTACTTCAATGGTTAATTAGCTACTGAACTCTTTCCTGATATCTTCTTTTCCTCTTTTCTTTTTTCTGGTTGTCTATGAATTTCATCATGCAATAGGTCACTGCTTGAACAAGCCAACTTTACAGATCCAAGAGTTCATGTCCCGGCACTATTCATTGTTGGTGAGAAGGATTATTTCCTCAAATTTCCAGGAGTCAAAGACTACATAAGTGGAGGACTCAAAAGTTTAGTCCCTAATCTGCAGATGGTTAACTTGCCAGAAGGAACCCATTTTGTTCAAGAACAATTACCTGACGAGGTCAATCAACTCGTGCTTGACTTCCTTACGAAGAATAGCCAATCATGAAATCATCAATAAGGCTTTGTCCGAAAGCTTTCAACAGTTCGGTTGTTGCATCTATTCGGATGTGTGAATGAATAACTCCATCTGTGATGTTCTATCAAGTCCTAGTTGTTTTTTACATGTAAAGTTGTACTGCAGTAAGCCGGTGACCCTAGAGTTTCTAGTCTACATCTTCAATATGAGTCACTAATGCTTGCATTAGGGTAGGTTATCTACATCACACCCCTTGGTGTGCAGCAGTTCCTCGGTCGGACCCTGCGTGAATGGGGATGCTTTGTGCATCGGACTGCCCTTATCTTCAATACGAGAGCGTCTGTAATAATATCCAGTGTACTTTCCTGGTAAAGCTGAAAAGGTTTGAATAAATGCAAAACTGAATGCTCTTGAGACCCTAGGCTGAAACTGGATGTTCTGTCTACATATCCAAAATTTTATTTTATTTCTAGTTTTAATTGTTTCCTAATGGCTTAGTAGAAACACGTTTAAAAGATATTGTGGAGAAAATGAAACAGATGAAAATTTTGTGTCTTCTTTCCTTATATAAAACCAGACAGATTTTTATATTCTTGATTATAGGTAGGTATATCAACTGAAGAGACAATAGAAATGATAGAAATTGTGGAAGATGATGAACAGAATTACTATTCCGGGGATCCTATTTTATATGATGTAGTTTTTTCTTGTTTACGATTGTCTCAAATACTTTCAAAACATTTTTAGTCATAGAAATCATAACTTACATTATTTTGTGTAATTTCTAAATATATATATATTTTCATAAATTGAGAAAATATGCAAATTCACAAAAATTAGTGTGTGTGTGTGTTAATCTCCGTACTCTAGTTTGGTTAACTTTTCTCTTTTATTTGTTCTTTTTGATAAGGCGCTCCATACCAGTATTATTGTCAAAATAGCACGGTATAGCCAGTTTTCGGACTGGTCATTCAAAAATAGCCAGCGTTTACCAAGTCAATGAAAAATAGCCACTATTTTGCTGCAACAGAGACCGGTCCAGCATAATATACTGGAGTTCGGTGCACCTGTGTATGAACTCCAGCATATTATGCTGCACCGGTATACTTTGCTGGCTCCAGTATAATATACTGGAGACTGGAGCACCGGTGCTCCAAACTCCAGTATATTATGCTGGACCGCAATACTTGCTGGAACTCCAGTATATTATGCTGGAGTTCTAGTGTACTTATGCTGGAACTCCATCATATTATGCTGGAGTTCCAGTATACTTATCCTGGAACTCCAGTATAATATGCTGGAGTTCAAGTATACTTATGCTGGAACTCCAGCATAATATACTGGCGTATTTTTTCGAGTTTTGAACAGTGTTTTCGCTCAGATTTATCTTTACATGAAAAGTGGCTAAATTTCGATTACTTTCGAAACTGGGCTATTTTTGAAAGACCAGTTGTAAATCTGGCTATTTTTGAATTTCACCCCGTATTATTGGTTGTATATGTATCAATAGCTTCCAATTCACTATATAACTACATTACAAACAAAACAAGTAGGCACAAGATGGCTATGTGTACTTTTTATTTATACAAAAGATAAACTGATTATTAGCATATAAATACATATGAACTTGTCTTAAACAAGATAATTAAAAATTCACATACTCTAAGCCAGTTAGTTATGTGGATTCTACTTATATGTATTTTCCCGCAAAAAGAACCTGTTGAAGTTAGGTAGGCAACCAACTCAACTTATTATTCTTTGATGATATCCTAAGTATCTTTTTTTGAGACATGACTTCAAAGAAGATGACAGACATGATAAATATCTTTTTTATTTTTTATTTTTATTTTTATTTTTTGGAAGGAGTCTCGGCATAACTGGTAAAGTTGCCGCCATGTGACCAGGAGGCCACGGGGTTCGAGCCGTGGAAACAGCCTCTTGTAGAAATGCAGGGTAAGGCTGCGTACAAAGGCGGATCCAGGATTTAAAGTATATGGGTTCCTGTCATATTCTCAAATTAATATACAATAATAACTGAGTTCACAGTTATATATTTATAAATATTTAGTGAATTTTTAATAGAAATACAGGGTCTACGCAAAAGCTACTGGGTTCCCGGGAACCCGGTAACTGGACTCTAGATCTGCCACTGGCTGCGTACAATAGACCCTTGTGGTCCGGCCCTTCCCTGGGCTCTGCGCATCGCGGGAGCTTAGTGCACCGAGCTGCAATTTATTATATATTTTTTTTCTTTTTGTTTCTAAAAAAACTTTAGAATACTGTGTCACACCCTTATTTACTCACCTCTAATAAAATTGTGCCAGCAGGCAGTTAATCAAGAAAAAGGATAGTGGAATATAAGATAATACCAAGAAAGAATATTAATTATAATATACTACTCATTGATTTATGTTTATCCTTAAAAATCAAGCTAATAATAATGGCAGACATAAATTATCACATAGCAGGAAAATTTCAACGAATTATTATATACTCCTAGTTATTTGTCGATAGTGGTTTGGCAAAGATGCTTTTCTGCTTAGCGAGAATCACTCTCCTGCTCCAGACTTTAAAGGGACACATTTATTAGAAATTTTTCTGTATGTAATACAGTATGATGCATAATTTGTATTTATAATACATCTAAAAGATGCTTTTCTGCTTTGCAAGAATCACAAATTCACAATGAAGGAACAAATTTGACTAGAGATATTTTGTATTTTCTATGATATTATGATATGAGAGTGTAATTCTTTACACGGATCGTGTATATAACAACTTACTTGGATGATTATTAACTATTGTATTGTATGTATTGTTACTTTATATATAATATTTGTTTTGATTGTTACTTAAATTTTATTGTATCGTATCGTTAAATCAGTTATTACGTAACGACGACAGGTGCCATTTTATAGAATGACCGATTTGATGTGGTCGCGTCGTTACCTTATTTTTTTTTTTTCATCTTGTCCTTTTTTATTATTAAATAATCCTATTTTATTCTTTACCCAACCTTTTTATATAATAATATTACCTCGTACCTTACTTTTCTTTATAATATTGCAAGTTTATTTTTCATATTGTGAATGCATGACCTCATAAAACAACGACAACCAATACAATCTATCCAAATATTATATACATCAAAATGATACAGTACAATACAATATAATACGATATGCAAGACGATACATAATCCAAACAAGCTATAACTTAAACTTAGAAAACAATGACTTACTTTGACCTTCACATGAATTCGTGAAGTATAAAAATCCCATACGTATTTCATCATTTCACTCAACTCCCAACTCAAACAGAAAGTGAGAAAGAGGAAAAGAGAAATTCAACGGTCAGAAAGATGGAACAAATAGAGCATAAATATGTTAAAGTGAACGGGCTAAAGCTTCATGTAGCTGAAATTGGAAGTGGGAATTCCCCAGTTGTGGTGTTCTTGCATGGATTTCCTGAAATATGGTATACTTGGAGGTATCAAATGATAGCTGTGGCCAAAGCTGGTTACAGAGCTATTGCACCCGATTTCAGAGGATACGGGTTGTCGGATCAGCCACCCGAACCCGAAAAAACCTCCTTTCTTGATTTTGCCAACGACACCCTTGCACTTGAAGATGCTCTTGGCATCTCTAAGGTATATTCATCTTCTTAAATCTTGAGAAATAAAGTTTTCCTTTTTTTTTTGTTGGAATTTGGACTAGTGGTTTGAGGTTTAGATAAGACAAAGAAAAAGGTGCACTAAGCTCCCGCTATGCACGGGCCGGAGAAAGGCCGGACCACAATTGTTTATTGTATGCAGCGTCATCCTGCATTTCTGCAAGAGGGGATTTCAACGGCTCGAACATGTGACCTCCTCGTCATATGGCAACAACTTTACCAGTTACGTCAAAGCTCCCCTTCTTAGATAAGACAGAAGTAGTAGTAAAAAATGACAACTCTGCTATGAAACTTGCATCAAAGACACAACAAATGATCCCTTTTACTTGGACATAATAGTGTTGGAAGTGTTAGAATCTAAGGATGAAGAGTCAATACATTATCCTAAGATTGTATAGTCATTGTCAAGTAATGGTATTTTGTCTCTCTATTGGTATATTTGTGTCTTTCTCATTTCTGTGTTTGCTTAATAATGTAGGCTTTTCTTGTTGGTAAAGACTTCGGATCTATTGTCATTTCCCGTTTTGTCAATCTCTATGAGGAGAGAGTCTCTGGATTTATTGTTATGGGAGTGCCATTTTGGCCTCCACATCCTCTCAAATTTAAAGACGACCTCCCTGAAGGCTTCTATATTTCGAGATGGGGGGTACGTTTTTTCATCTCTAATTTAGATTTACTTTTTTCATGATTATCATTTATATATATAGTTCTCTAGTTCAATCTTAGAGATATCTTTAATTCTTTCCAGGAGCCTGGGAGAGCTGAGGCTGATTTTGGTCGCCTCGACGTTAAAACAGTAGTGAGGAATGTATACATTCTTTTCTCCAGAAGTGAAGTACCAATAGCCAATGAAAATCAAGAAATCATGGATATTGTGCAACCTTCAACCCCTCTACCCCCTTGGTTCTCTGAGGAAGACTTGGCTGCATATGGAGCTTTGTATGAGAATTCTGGATTCAAAACTGCATTGCAGGTTCCCTATAGGTAACACAAAACATCTGCATGTTTTATTACTGGAAAGTCTGCTTTCACTTCTCTCACACACATGCATCAAACCAAGAATCATTATAGTCATTCACGGCCTTAGTCGGGAGAGGCAGGCTTTTTTCTTATAACCGAAAAATCCACAAGAGCCAATGATGCACGATTACAACTTGGTTCATAATGGGCCTGCCCCTCTACAAGGGGAGGCAGACTTAGGAAATGATAAAGTACTACAAGCAAGTTCTAAGAGTTGCACATGAGATTTAGCCTGTACCTAACAGAGGATTGTTCAAGTGGTAAGCACCCTCCGTATCCATACTCGGGTTGTGGCTTCTAATCATCAAGGGAGCAAAAGTGGGAGAGCTCCAGGGGAGGGGTAAATAGAAAAAACAAGAAAACGATGAATCAAATGAAAGACCTTTAGGGGTTCGATTCCCCACCTATAATCCTTCCCCCATTTCTCCTTCCCTTACCATTATATATAACTTTTTTTATAGAAAAAAAGGAGTTAGCATGTACCAAGAATGGATTACCTACTGTTAAATGTACCTTGTGAAATAGTCAAGGCGTGTGCAAGCTGACAAAGAAAAAGTAACAGGAACTGTTTAGCTAGTTGATTGCCTACTGTCTTGATATATTATTTTACTCTTCAATTTTTTTTGGTTGTTTATGAATTTCATGATGCAATAGGTCATTGCATGAACAATTCAACATTACAGATCCAACAGTTCACGTTCCAGCGCTGTTTATTGAGGGGAAGAAGGATTATGTCC